CATAACATAAGGCCAATCTTCACACGTTCTCCTCACACTTCATGAATAAACATTCCTTTATTCAAATAAGTTATATATTAACTAACTCCAGTAATTGTGATTCAACTTTGAATGGTAAATAGAGTCATTCTGGCAAGATTGCAGAGTTTGCAATGCAAATTACAGAAATTTTAATAATGGCGAAAATAAAAATTAGTGGCATGATTCCTAAGGCAGTGTAATTCCAATACTTTTACTGCAACAGTAGAAAGCGCACATAAATACTTCTCCATTTATAAGCCGAGGGGTTTTATTTGGATATGCATCATCACACAGATTTACCTGCACTCTCGTCTAGGAGCATCGTTTCGGGGACTCAGGAGGCGCCAGCTAGAACTTCAAAGCTCCCAACCCCTGACATTAAGGGGTAATGTTGCTACTTCTCGATAAATAACAATGAAACAGTCACTGGATTAAACGATTTCCCTGCATTATCACCATAAACAATAATTATTTGGCAGTTGCCCTTTGCAAGCTTTGCATGTGCTTATGAATAAATCAAGCCTTATTGATTTACTAAGTCAAAACGTTCTACATTTTGTTCCACTAATAAGGCCATAATCCCCCACTGCACTTAGTGATGCTTTAATGTAAAATGTTCCTTAATACTTTTAATATGAAAGATTAGTGACGATTAGCCCCCAGGCAGGAACACTGCTCTCTGAATGGCAGATTGGCCACGGAACCCAGTCGCTCTGATATGTCCTTGTTAATGGAGTTCCCTGACTTGCTGATGGGAATCACATCTCAATGACATACACTGGCCCCACTGCTGCGTTATTTTTCCTTCCTCATAACGTTTAACATAATAATGACAACTCACATTAATTCAATGATGAAATTAATCTAAAATAGTGAGGCAGAAAAATATGGAACTGTAAAGGGTTCTATGTGCCCTGTAAAGTTATCACCTAAAATAATAAAAATCACTCTCAACACAGTGACTGCAGAAGACAGAAGGCCAAGGTGGACATCCCAACCGGTCCTGAGGGTCTGGAGTCCACGATTTCAGGTGGACAGGAAAGGCATCCCCTCCCTTCTCGAATGTAGTATCCTCTGGGTTCCAACAGGGAGTCCGAGGTCTCTACTGAGGGAAATTCTACCCTGGCATTAGTGATAACTTTTATCCTGGTTAATTTGTTCCTCAGTCAATAAAACTTCATCATCCCCTAAAGGAACACACAAGAAACTTTATTTCTGGTTGTCTGGACAGATTCCGGTGTACTTGCTAGGTGTACATGCATCCTCAATGAAAAATGAACTCCATTCTTCAAGCATAAAATAGGAATACCAGCACCCACCCCTGCCTCCCTTCCTCCCTTCCCTCACAAGGATCATAAACCAAGGAATTTCATACTGGAAAGCTCTACAGAGATTATATACTACAACCCCTCATTTCAAAGATAAGGGCAAGCTAAGAGAGGCCAGCCAGGCAACACGGTGAGACCCCACCTCAATTTAAAAAATTTAAAAAGGTGAGAACTCTGGGTGCGGAGGATTCACCCACAGAGCTAAGTGAATGCAGAGCAAGAATTCGCATCTCTGATCCAACCACAATGCCCCTTCCTTTAGGCCACTTTGATTCCTGGGATCTGTAGTGAACCTTCTCTGTCACCATGGAGCCCTCCTCCCAAGCAGAAGCAATAGGTCAGAGATTGCTGTATCTTCATATTCTGGGATGCCTTTCAGGTTTAACCACCCAGAGACCAACTAGGTACAGTAACAGAATTTACCACTATATTAGCTCTCTAAGAAAAACCACACAAACAAAAATCTCTGTTCAAAAAATAGATTCCCCTATTCCCTCTGGAACAACTGCCGCCTCTGGTTACAAAGCAATAATTATCCTGTCCTACAGCAATCAATAAAACCTCTTGCCCCATGAACCTGCTATTTCCTGACTTTGTTCTCTGTACTAAAGATTTCCAAGTCTCATTGATTATCTACTAAATTTGTTTTAAGTTCTTTCAGAAACAGAGCTGAAAGGAATCCTCTAGTTAGCATAAGTTGTTATTGTTTGAACAGTTTGGTCACATTAATGGTTTCCCTTTTCCTGGGGCTTTCCATTTTTTTTCATTTTGAACTTGTCATTTTACAGGCATCCGCATCTTGACTAATAGCAGAGCCTCTAAGATACAAATCTGATGATGCTTCTGCGGCTGTGGCTGCCACCGCATTTTTCTTCCAAGAGAGAGAAGAACTGATGAATAAACTGTGTCTTCTCTCAAGCAACAACATGGATTTTGCCGAATGAGCCCATGAGCTCTTAACATTCAGTACCACTGAACTTCCACAATAGTCAGCAGAGCAACTGTTATACAATTCAACCATCTTAGATCCTTCCCAAGAGTCAAACTTTAAAAGTGCATCACAAATGAGATCAGCAACGAGGACAGGATATGGCAGGGCCATGGCCAGGGGTCCAGCCTGAGAGGAGCCTCTCAGGCCTCCTCTCCGTGGTCCTCCTCTGAGCTCCTCTCCTCCCAGAGCACCCAAGTGCCCAGGATATACCCATATCTGTCTGTCCCTCCTAAGTGTGTAGGGCACAGCTACCTGGCATCTGTGTGCAGAGCTAGGGGAGAGGACGGTCTCTAATTCTCTAACTAGAAGAAGTACTATCCCAATATCCATCGGTACAATTCATTCATTGAAACATTTATTCTACAATAGATGAGAAATTATAGGAAAAGTAAAGAAGCAAATGTGACATTGTTATCATCTCACCTCAATGGCAGTTTAAATTCAAAGCCAGATCTAAAAATGGCATGTATGACCAACTTAGGCTGGGTCTGGGGCTAAGTGCCTCCTTACCCCCAGGATGTGTGGGTGCAGAGATGGAATGAATGGGAGTTCAGATAAAGCCAGACCCACCATCAACCGTTCTCCAGGGCTCCTATGAAAGGTCCTCCTTGAGAGGGATGAAAGACTGGGCAGTACTAACTCAAAATGCAAGGAAGCAGGACTAGGCAGTCGGCGCACTCCCTGCCCGAGCAGTGACGGTGACACTTACAGAAGCAGCATCTCCACTTTCTTCAGGGGATCACTCCATTGCTCACTCAGCTGTCACTGAGAACTCCTCACAGGGCCACACAGGTGCTCACACCATGGGGCTTACTGTCCAAGGCCATAAGACGGCCTGGACAAAGACCCACACACTGGAAGGACAACTGGATCTAAACATCTACCAGCTAATGAATGGAGAAACACAATGTGGTAGATCCACAATGGACTGTTATTCATTCAGGCTTAAGCAGAAAGGAAATCCTGATGTGCTACACAGCAAGGGTGGGCCTTGAGGAAACCAACCAAAAGAACAACTGTGACACAGCTCCACATATGTAAAATGCCAGCACAGGGAAAGTCCACAGAGACTGAAAGTAGATGAAGGGTTGTGGGGAGAGGGGATGAGGAGTGACTGTGGGGGAGCAAGAATGTTCTGGAAGCAGACTATAACAATGGTTGCACAACCTTGTAAAGACACTAAAAATCACTCAACTGTATTTAATGGTATGTGGATTGTATTTCAAAATTGTACCCCCCAAAAAAAGTGTGGCTGCAAAGTGATCAGCACTAAGGGCCCCCACAACTATGGGAGCACAGGTAGGGTCCAACCTCGGGGTTAGGGGAAAGAGAGAGGAGCTGAGAGCTGCAGAGAGGGAGGAAGAAGGAGAAAATAATTTCCAGGCAGAGGAGAGAGCACAGGCAAAAATGCAAGGCAAGGACAGGAGGAAGGCCCTTTCTCTTGTTCTTCAGAAACAACAAAGGCTCCAGATGTCAGCAAGGCCAAGGTGATGGACTGAACCTTGACAAAGGTCACAAATGTCATTTAGATGCAACTCTTAAAAGTTCCGGCCATTTTTATCACTCCCTCCTTAGCAGGCTATTGATTATGCATAACAAAGGTGATACAAATAACAAAAAATTTAAAAAATAAATAAAACAGACTGTTACCCTCAGGCAGAAAAACGATGTATCAAAACCTTAAGAAAAAAAATAAAGTTCAAATTGCTCTGAAGAGCTAAGGCCACTGCTGATATCATGGTTACTTCTAAACCATATGTGTCACCTCAAAAGAAATGCAGGCAGTGGGCACCAGGAGATGGTGACACATACTGCAGAGGGACTTCGAAAGCCTTCAGCACTAGGGCTGTGACACAGAGCAGGGTGCTGAGGGTCAGGTCCGTGGCTGCACTTAGTTTTTCACACCTACACAACCAGGTAAGTTTCAACACTTCTGGAGTACACAGCCTAGGCTTCCCAGCAGGGTCTCTCAACCTCTGCACCACGGCAGGCTGGGGCTGACCCTGCTTGGTTGAGGGGCATCCTGGACCTTGTAGGAGGGTTAGCAGCATCCCTCTAGAGGTCAGCAGCACCTCCCTCCCACCAGGTCCCCCAGCAAAACTGTTTCTGGATCTTGCCACATGTCCCCTGGGGGCAGAACTTCCCAGCAGGGAACAAGTGACCTCTGTCCTAGCCCTTGAAGGATGACACTTCTCCAAATGCTTCACACCCTCAGGCCTCCTCACAACCAAACCCGTTTAAAACTCAGAGAAGAGTGTGTAAGAGGCTCTACAGTCCTGTTCAACCTGCGGACTCTCTGAAGCAGAAGGAAAGCCAATCACTAACCAATCACTAAGGAGAAACATCCTCTCAGCCTTCTCCTCCCTCCAAAAGCAATTTGACGATTAAGCTCCAATGTTTTCACCTTCTAAAGGCCACACAGTTGGCTCAAGGGTCAGGACCAGCCCTGACAAGTGAAAACACACCCTTACCCCAGTGCCCCCCAACACCCCCCCACCCCCCCGCTGATGAAACCCAAGAAGCAATTTTTAAAAAGCTAGTAGACTTTTGCACTAAGTTCATTCAGCATTTTCTACCAGGTTCTCTGTGCCCATCACAGTGACTTCGGCATCATGAAGGGCAATCCCGTGTAAGCGAAAGCCGTCCATATGTGGGCTCACCATCTGGGGGCATCAACACCTTGTTGTTCTGGGTGCACCACCCTACGGGGTGCAGATCCGCTATGACCACATCACACCAGAAGTCAGCCCTGCGGTCCTCCCCATAACCACAGTAGCGCAGAAGCAGCAGCTGCCCGCAGGTGGTGATGATCGTGGCCACCCAGTAGGTGTCCGGGTTGCTCTTATTAGCCACCTCCAATTTCATTCCCGGCTGGAAGTTGCTCTGAATGCTGATTTCAACCTTAAGGAACAGAAACAGGAAAACCATTGTTAACGCTAGATACTCATTTCCAAAACATGACAAGAACTGCCAGAAAAAAGAGCACATGAACTCAGTATTTCTGTTGCTGTAAAACAGGAATGTATTCGTCTAAAAGAAACATAATGCAAACTACAAATGTAATGCTAAATCTTCTAGGTGCCACGTTTGAGGAAAGAAAAGATAAAACAAAAGTAATTTCAGGGCTGGGGTTGCGGTTCAGTGGCAGAGTGCTTGGCTAGCATGTGTGAGGCACTGGGTTGATTCTCAGAACCACATATAAATAAATAAAACAAAGGTCCATTGACAACTAAAAAAATAAAAAATTTTTTACAAAAGTAATTTCAGTAATATTTAATTTCTCCTATATCCAACACATTATTGTTTAACATGCAACTAATACAAGAAAGGAGAATGAGGTATTCTTTTCTTCAAATTGTTCAAATGAAGGGTCCCAAACCTACTCTTATGTTCTACGCGTGGTCCACACCCAGATGTGGGCTACACTACACACTTTTCCAATATTCAACAGTTCTGTGAGCCAGTGGATTCTGACAGACTGCCCCAGCCTAGAGTATACACTTATTTTTGTCTCCTTTTTTTTTTTTTTTTTTTTAATAAAGGGTTATACTGCACTGAAACACCAGCTTTTCTCCTCCTTCCTCCAAAAAGAGTTTTCCAGGCTTGGAGGTATCAACATTCCAAAGCTGACATATGTGCTGCTTTAAGCAGCAGGCACTTAGAGGAGATGATGGAATCAAAAATTTCTCCTCCGTGGGTCCTATGCTACTTTTCCCTTAAACCTGGCTCGCAGGCCTGGGGAAAGCCTGGACAGAGGCCCTCACTGCTGCCAGGACACTCTACTGTGACTGCAAGGGAGGGGAGAACTAATGAATCAAGGATGGGGATGACTCCTGGAGGAAAGCTAAGGCAGGCCCTCCTGGTACAAGAAGGAAGGGAACTTTGTCAACCAGCATCTCTGTCCCCAACTGCCTTAAGGAAACTGCCAAAGCACCCCAGCATCTCAAGGTGCACGTGTTACCATGGCTTTTGCAGGACATTATCCACTCTATGCCAGGAAAGCTCTGGTCTTGCTATCTTTTAACATTTAGCTCTTGGGCCAGATGTGTTAGCACACACCTGTAATCCTGTAACCCCAGTGACTTGGGAGGCTGAGACAGGAGGAGCGAATGTTCAAAGCTAGCCTCAAAAACTTAGCAAGGCCCTAAGCAACTCAGTGAGATCCTGTCTCAAAATAAAACATAAAAACGTCTAGGGATGTGGCTCAGTGTTCAAGCATCCCTGGGTTCAATCTGGTACCAAGAAAAAAGGAAAAAGAAAACAAAAATATTCAGCTGTTGGGTTTCAGTAAATGGTCACCATCATAATCAACTATAATATAACGAGCCCAAATAGAGAAACAGGAATGCCATGTCCCTTTACAGGGGCACACAAATCCAGGAAAGTCTCAAGTCCTTTTCAAAAGAACTCTCCACCTCCAAAAAGATTTAAATGTTTTTTAAAATAAAGAATCAAAGTTCTGGCTTCCTCACTCTGTAAGGAGCCAAAAAGAAAGTTAAAAAGTGCCCCAACCTGCTTCCGAACATCAGGTGAATCTCTGTCCTGAGCCCAGGGGAAAACGGATTTCTCAGAGTAAAATTTTCATTTACTAAGACAAGAGTCTTGCCTAAGAGCTTGGATCTTAAAAATCTCATCTTTTCCTTGCTAATGATATTGAATCGGTATTTCACACCTAAGCAAAATTCTGATAGAAACTCATTTTTTTTTTTTTAATTTTCTGGGACTTGTCCTCTGATGAACAGGCTATGTGCACTATTCAAAGAAATACTGTTAATGAGAATGATCTTCGGATTAGATTTAAATGCTTTCAGCATATTTATGGTTAGTCTTCTCATTTGATTCATCTGCCCACAGATGGCTATAAAACGTATGTGTCCTTTCAAAATAAAAATATCAGTTCATGAAAACAATACACACCACTCCGCCTACAGCGAGACATTATGAGTCCCACCTACTCGCCTGGTTTGGAACTTCCTCATCTCTTTATTCCTAAGAAACCATGCCTGAATTTCCTCTTTTCTTTCTTCTTGGGAGCAGTTCAGTACTTGGCCTTTGCCCTGCACACCACCACCACCCCCGCCCCCGCAGGTCACAGGAAACCAGCTGCTTCACTTACATGCTTGAAGGATGTGTGAGGAGCTGCCCGAGCACCTGTCTCTTCCAGATACTCTCCCCAGTTAAAGCCGATTTCCTCCAAGCTTGAACCTTCTTCTGTGGGGGAAAAAGAAAGGAGCATCAATACAAGGGTAGAGGATGGGAGGCACTGGCCTTTGACTGGGACCAGAAAACCAAGAGATAAACTCATTCAGTGGGGTTTAGGAGGACACTGCTGAATTCTTTGCAGAGCTCCAGTTTGTTGACTGTAGAGAAGGTGACCAAGGAAGAAAACTGGCCAGATCCTGCTTTGACCCCACCCCCAAAGCCAAGAGTAACCTTAGAGTTCTCAGCAGATGAATGAGGCTTATCTAAGGCTGATTTGCTACAAGGTACTGTATTTGTTTGAAATTAACCATGGTAGACACCCCAGGCTTTGGGAAGGCTGGAGAATGGAGGAAAGGAACATTCAATCACTGATACATACTGACACCAACCCATGCAACTCTCCTTGACTGTTAGTGCCATAAGGGATGTTAGAAACAGGGACTCCAGCAGGGCAGGGTGGCACATGCTTCCTAGCAACTAGGGAGGTTGAGGCAAGAAGATTACAAGTTCAAAGCCAGCCTCAGCAATTCAACAAGGCTCCAAGCAACTTAGCAAGACAGTATCTCAAAATAAAAAAATAAAAAGGGCTGAGGATGTGGCTCGGTGGTAGAGGAGCCCCTGGATTCAACCCCCAGTACCAGAAGAAAAAAAAAGAAATAGTGACTCCAGTGACATTTGAGAAGAAAGAAAATGGAGGGTCCGGGACTATGAGCCACCTGGCAAGCCAGCAACAGAAATACAGCAGCTACCAGACACTCCTGATGCCCAGTTATGGACATGTCTCCAGCTGGGAGAGAGCTCTAAGGGCCACTCACACCAGTTTCTCCAATCACAAAAAAAAAAAAAGAAAACTACAGTCAAATGCACAACACAGGTCTTAAAATCATAACTTTTTTTTTTTTTTTGTACTGCAGATTGAACCCCAGCCCTTTTCATTTTATATTTTAGGACAGAGTATTGCTAAGTTGCTGAGGCTAGCCTCAAACTTGCAATCCTCTAGCTAAAACTTCCGAAGTCACTGGGATTACAGGCATATGCCACCATGCCCTGCTAAAATCAAAACTACTTTTAATTTGCACAGCTGTACAAGGTCAGGTGCTAACGGAAATCAAGTAATTCCCGAAACATTTGAGGCTGCATGTAAGACATCATTTGTATAATTGAAAAGCACCAAGTAATGCACTGTAAAAAGTAGATGGCATAAATGTCACCCCAAAGAGCTCAGAAACTGTATACATTATTTGAATCTTTTTTTAGGCTATCATAAGGAAAGAACATACAATAATAAGAGCTGCCCAAATATGCAAACAAGAACTTCAAATGTATAGATTCTCTTCCACAACAATATTCAAGGGATGCTGATGTTCAATCCTTCTATCTTTTATAAACAAGAGCCAATTTCACTGGCCAAGGGTAAATACTGCTTTCTAACATGCTGACTAGCATAAGAGTACTATATCTAACAAGTGGCCACCCAAAGAAAGCACAGTTTTATTCTGGAAAACACCGCAGAGTGGCACCTGAAAACTCTGTCCCCACTACCTTCTCCCCATACAGTACTAGGCATCAATTACTCAATCTTGGAAAGCAGTTTCCAAGGCACTAATCAGATATCAACTCAGCACTATGGGATTTGCCAAAATCTCCTCGTGCAGTATCTGAGGACTGCAAACCTGCTGGAGACAAGAGTCTGGAATGTCTTCTCACCCTACTTGTCTGACCTCAGTCACACCCTGCCTTCCTGCAGCCCCTGTGAGCTGTGATCACAACACCACTATGGGAACATCCTATGAGCCACAGTAGGCTTGGGTGTCCACACTAGGTGCCCAGTATAGCATGAGCTCATAATCCTGCCAAGAACCTGACAGATGGCTACTCACAGAAGAGCTAACAGAAGCTCAGAAAGGTTAGAGAATCATCCAATCACAGGGGCACTCAGAGGCAGAGTCCAATGCAGGCCTCCTAATTAGGAAGCTGGAACTCTTAATAACTGGTTAAGTCCCAAGTTTTCAATTCTGCTGAGAGCCACAGCCGAGTCGGAATGGCCCCTGGCATTTTGCCAATAGTATTGGTTGAGAGGGAGCCATTAAGATGATGCTGGATTGATTCAATTGTATATTAGACCTTTACTGTCCACCTCGGTGCCCGCTACTTTGGAGTTCTCGCGAGGATTGCCTGGGGAGTTCATGTTGGTTGGGGAAGTTCCGGGAGAGGGAGTTCCGGTTGGTGTGTGGTGTGTTCCTGGAGGAGCCGCGTGGGTGGCGTTAGGGAGAGTTCCCGGGGAGTGTGCTGGTGGAGTTTGGAAATAAAGTTTGTTCCTGCTTGAGTGGCTCGTGATTTGTGCCCAGCCAGACTGCACCACAATTCCATAAAAATGCAATGAAATTTACACAGATGGATTAGAATAGGTTGGAAAAAATACTCTAGAGCTTATATATCCTATATGTACATAGGATATGTATATATATATATATACACATATATATGTATATATATACACATACTTATATATATTCAAATGTTTTCATCACTCACCTATTTTCTCAAAAGAACAGAATTCTAAAAACATAACATTTATTTTCCCAAGTGAAGCTGTTACAGATGTCCCATATCTGAGATAATAGGACTTACTGGGTTAAGAGGCCTTCCCCTCATTCTTCTGCCTGCACTAGGCCTCAGAAGCCTCCACCACCTCCACCCATTTATCCGATCCGTGGAACCCTCCAAGGCCAACCCGTAACCGTGTTGGGGAGCATTAAAACATTCCACAGCCAGATGCACCCGATGCGGTAAGCAGGAGGCAGCAGCCACTACAGAGAGAAGCCAGTGGAGAGTCTGGAACCTGCTTATGAGGAAGAAGAGGAGGATCTGGGAAAAGACGCTAGGACTCAGCAAGGGAGAGTCTGGCATTGCAGACCCTGAGAACAACAGCTGTGGAAAAGGGAAGGGGCTCTCTTGCTGGGCAGCGGCCAGTTCCTTCACATCAGGAACACTCACAGGGCAGTGGAGCCACAGGTCCCTGGCCACCACCTACCCTGGAATCCGAAAGAGGCCTGGTGAACCTCATCAGGGTCCCTGGCCAAGAGTGGGTGATTTCACCACTTCAGATCAGGGCTGCCAGGGCTGGTTTCTCCCTTCACCTTTGAGACCATTTGTCGCAGTGTTTTAGCCTTCATACCATTCTAGTCTATGCTTCGTATTTTACCAAAAATATGTTTCCACCAAATTTAAATTTATTGCAAACTCCATTTCTAGTCCCTCCTCAGGTAGCCAGCTGTGCGCTCCTTGGTGCTCGCTTGTTCATTCAGTCAAGCTGCCCAGGAGGTTAGATGGTCCACTGTGTCTCCCCAGCAGCCAGGGAGGCAGTGGGCTCGGCTACTCTGCTGGCCTAGGGGAAACACTTTGTCAAATACCCCAAAAGTCAGACCTAGAATGGGACTTTAAAAATAAAAACCTTACACCCAGCACTGGTAACCTTAACCATGCTGTTTGAACAATAAAGCCACATACAAAATTTAGGGTTAGGCATAATAGAGCCTTTAAAAAACTGTCCCACACAACCCTGAGGCCAGGACTCCCCAAGCAGCTGGTTCTCCAAAGACATTTCAATGAGCAATAGACAAACACACACCGTGTTTATGAGGAGAGGTCTCATAAACCCAGAGCAAATATTTACAGCTGATCCATAAACCTCTTAAACCCATAAACATTTTATCAAGGAAACTCTGACAATCTCCCTCCACCATAAATGAACCAGCAGGGAGGCACTTCCCATGATGTCATGAAAACCGTCTATGAAAAGCCACTAAGAAAATTTCACAATTTAAGAGAAAAAGCAGGCACGTTCATTAGTGGTGATCCAGGGTTCTAGAAAACAGAAAACTATTTGTGAGACCAGAATATTCCATAATGAACATAAAAAGCCGCATTAAAAGCAGGAGAACAAGTGACCTTGGGACGCAAAACGCAGTTAGCAAATAGCCCCTACGTCTTTTTCTTAGGTGGTAAAATCTTGGGTTTGAACAATTTTACACTCTGAAATGAGGCTGACTTCACAAGCCTGTAACCACCACCCAATGAAGAAACTAAGAACCGGCACCCTTCAGAATGAACAGAACCTCACTGAGGACCTTCTTGGGTGGTGTGTGTGTGTGTGTGTGTGTGTGTATTTTTTTTTTAATGTGGAGAGAGACAGGAAGAAGACATTAAATCTCTTTTATTTCAAACACAACAGCCAGTTCATTTCGCACTACATAAGGTGTACAAAGTAGTGCAGCTGTGAGCAACTGTAGGAACCAAGGCCCCCTGCACTCCAGGAGGGACAGTCATCAGAATGCAAAGGTCCTTGTGGCTATCTCAGATGGCCACAGTTTATCTAGGAGGGAAGAAAGCAAAAACCCTCTTCCCTGGGGAAAGCAGCAACTCTTCAAAAGAGCAACTCTTTAGAAGATAGGGAACAATACTGCCAGGTCACAGATCTGGACCTCAGCATGGCAGTCCTGGCTTTCTCTGAGAATGCTGACTTCTTTTCTTCCCAAACACAAGAGCCTGTGGCTCTGCAGTTAGTATATTCCCAGCACCAAGGAGAAAACAAGACGGAGGCAAGCCCTCCAGTGCCCATCTTTCTAAGTGCCCATCCTTCTGCTCTGAGGCTTGCCCAGTCTAAATATGCCGCACACTTCATCCACAGACTCCACCAGGAAATTACACTTACCAAGCCTACAAAAATATGTCAGGGAATGTATTTATCGCTATGTCAGCATATTGTTCTGCTTGCTGCTAGAGCAGCCACCAAAGTCGCCTAGAGTTCCCACGATCAGGTTTCCGGTGCACTTTGCTCCTCCTACACCCGGGAGGAGGCTGTCCATCCTATCTGCTGGGAATGCCTGCAGTTCCTGGGCTATTTCATCTACCTGTGCTTATTCCAGTGGCATAATCCGTGTCCCTGGGAGGAGAAGCAATTTTATATTGTGCCTACTGCATTTGCATAATGGGTATCCATTGCTGATCCCAACCAGGATTTGAATTTTCCTTAGGAAAAAAAGTCAAAATTCTTTTTTTGTTTGTTTAAAAAAATGTCAGTTTAATGACAGCTGGGGTGCAGAGTGGAGGGAATTGAGCAACAGAAAAAAAACTGGTGAACAACCAGGTTAGGTCTTTCATTCTTTGTCCCCACACTTTCCTTAGAGAAGGCTGCAGTCACTTAAGTGCAGTCACTTGCTGGGAAGATGAAGCCCTATGTTACATAACACAGGGAGAGGACAAAGGAGGAGTGGGAAAAAGAACTAGGAAGAATGTGGGCTGTGCCTTGTCCCATGGGAGTGGGGATCGGATTCCGGCCAGCGCTTCAGAGCACCAGTTCCACAGCCTGAGGATGCCTGACATGAAGTCCTGCTTCCAATCACCACCCGAGTAGCTTTACCTGGACCAGTTTCCTCATTATGGAAGTGTGGATGATCAAAGCAGTCACTCCTCTGTATGTCGAACTAACACACACACATAAAGGACTCAAAATGTTGAGTGTCTGCCCTATGGTCAGAAGGCAAGCTCATTCACAGTCCATGTGGAACCCACTGAAGAACTCTGTTCTTCCCTTCTCTTGGAGTGACTAGCCCACAAATCTCATCAGGAAACTCTTCCCAGGGAAAGACCCTAAGCACTAAGACTGTACCCAGTGGGCCCCAGAATCAAATATCCCCACAACTGATTCTAGAACTGACAATATTTTATGTATGAACAGGTTGGCAAAAATAATAATAATAATAAAAACACATGGGGCTGAGGGTATAGCTCACTGCTTGATTGCCTAGCATGTGCAAGGCCCCAGGTTCAATCCCCACAAAAACTAAACAAATAACTTGAAGACTTATACTTGACTCTGTTGTTTGATTTAAATGCTCAAAACTAGATTTGAATTTCTAAAATGAATTCAGCCTCTGCACTCTACAAAGTTTCAGACCCTAGTTTTAATTTGTAGCACCATCTTACCATGCAAGTGGGTGCACATGGAAATTCCAAAAAGAAGTGACATATTAGCCACACTAATGGGCAAGGGGGGGGGGGGGGGGTATCTGGCCAATGTCTGAAATATGTAATGATAATTTAGAATTATTGAGAAATGCTGTTTTTATTAAGCATATGAGCATCTTGTATGTTTTTTAGGTCATCCAACACACAAGAGCAAGCAACAAAGTAAGTATATATGACAGGCTTCTGGCCTGGAATCCCCTGGCCAATGAATCCATCCTCGCTCTAACTTCCCATAGTTGGAACCATCCTCAAGGAAGTGTCGGTACAAACAATTTTCTGACAGCAGATTATCATTGATGAGGTTCAGAATCTGCTCAGGCAAGAGAGAGTACGGAGAGATATTGAAGTTGCATGAAAATGAAAAGCCAATACACAGTTGGCTTTTAAAAGCACACCACTGTCAATGGTTCAGCAACACACGTGATGTGTGCAGATGATATACTACGAAACCACAGCGAAAGCTCAGGAACTCCAAGAATGGAAAATAACCTCACTCGGAAAATACAAGAGAGACTTTTAAAAGGCACAAATGGCTGGGCGTCCCCCTTATTTCAGGGGCCTCCAGGTAAAGATACAATTTGAGAAACTTAATCTAATAAATTCAATGACACCAAGCAATCTGTCATTCTGTCATTGACTTGTCCAATCAAACTGTGAAGACAAACTTCTTTAGGCAAATGGTCAAATCTCCCACTGAGTTGATGAGCAACACTATTTATGTGAATCCACCCCTGCAGGTGTTTATGAATCACAGGGCTAAGCTGTCCATAGTTAATTTGCTGCTATGTATAAATAAAGTATCCTTTTCAAATAAGCCCTTTAGTGTGTAAGTACTTAAAAACAGACACATTTCTAAATCCACTAGTTAAATATTAAAATCCAATCAGAGGCTGTTTGGGGGTGGGGGTGTTAGTTTTTTGCTTTTTATCAGATTTCTTAAAGGAGGTAACACTGCCACAGAAAAAGCATATGATGGGAATCTCTTTCCATCACACACTGCAGCCTCAGGGATGCACTCATCCTTCAGAGAGCCCTATGTCTGGGCAGATCGGGTTCTCCTGTCCCTCTGTGGCTCGGTGACAGAATTCTATTTCCCAGCCTGCCTTCCTGGGGCACAAACATGGGACTAACTTCTAGTCGAAGGGTTCTGAGCAAAAGTGGCATCTGTCCCTTCTGAGCTAGAGCAATGAACTGCTGGCTCAAGACGCGCACGCTCCGAATGCCTCCATTGTGGCCAACCCTGGGTGCTCTGGGTGGAACACTGCACCAGGATGTCTGCCAGAGACGGCGTCATGATTTAGGAACACCAGTGGCTGAAACCACTGAGATTGAGAAGGGGGCATCACCCCCCACCTGCCAACCCGTTCTGCCTAGTACAGTTGAATTCACCTTCACCCCAAGTTTAACTTGAAAGCCACTGCATCCTTAGGAACAGGAGGGCAAACCCCAGGAACAGGCAGAATTGTGGGCTCTAGAAATACTGCCCACATTGTTTCCAGAACATTTTGGGAAGATATTGGTCAAGAAACCAAAAGCCAGAAGGATGGAACAAGCGAAGTCCTACCTGAATCAAGGTCTCCGTTGCCGTTAGCTGAGCCAACGTGCTTTTCTGGGGGGGAAGATGAAGGGTTCTGCATGCTGGAAACTGGCAAACTGTTCTCCATGCCTAGTGAGTAGGTGTCTTCTTCCCTTAGTTCATCCTGCAGTGAGAATTATCTAAGAGCAACCAAAAACAAAAAAAAAAAAAAAAATCAGAGCACTTTAATTACGTTCATTACATTGACTTGTTTCCAAGTCTTATAATCCCATCAGAGTTGCTAGCAACTCGCAACACTAGGATGCAATGTCATATTGGTAACATCAGGAATGCAGACTACCGAGTGCATCCCTACATGGGACTAAGCCAACAACAAAGTTCAGAGCATAGCAAAGCTATCAGTTTTCTAGAGGTCATACTAATAGAGACACATTTTCACCAACAAACAGAACCCATGTTTTAATCCCCAGTCCACCATGGTGACACTCCACTGCCCTCTTGATGCTGTGAAGCAGCAGATGCCCCTCACTGCAGCATCCCACACGTGGGTCCTGCAACACTGTGTCTTCACTCATGTGTCATAAGTGCTCTGCCACCAAAACCAGTTCTGGTACCAACATTTGCAAACAGTGTGCTTTCTGCCAATCAGAAATGGGGACAAGAGGTTCCCTGTAATGGTACTGCCATTCCTCACTTGCATTCTGATATGACTGGCAGAAAAACAGAGAATATCATAATCAGTTCCCACAGAATTCTACAGTCTATGCTCATTTATGTTGCAGCCTAGGAGACTCCAGGAGCCATCCCTTCCAATGAGCATCCTGGCCTGACTCTGGTGGTTAGACACAGCCACGTGGGATTTTATAGCTTTTATTTGTTCAATGTTCTCTTTCATTTCTCTGTAGATAAAATTTTAAATCAGAAAAAAGGCAAGAACAGATGAAAAAAGGAAAGAACATATTATAGAGTACCCATAAGGCATCTTTAAGAATGCCACACCCTTCTTTAGGCGCGCACACACACACACACACACACATCTTTGGTGCTATTTAGTTTACTTTCCTAGAAAATATTTTGAGGTTGTACCAAAATCAAAGGTTCATAAGAGGGTTCATCATTTGGTGGCGTGGCAAGGAAAAGGGTGAAAATTGCTGCCAGGAAGAGACTAGAATACCAGGAGCCCAACCCTGGGACTTAGTTGCTTGCATGTTTAACTATCCACCCACTGCATATAACCTACTACACCAGTCCAAGCATCTTCGTTCTACAGAGGTAAGTTCATGATCACTCCAATGGAAGGTCAATCAAAGACCCAGGGCACCTGTGAACAACCACAAGCTCTGGGCATGGGGGCTGGCCATATTTTATCACTCTGAGATGAAGTCAGCATCAATAATATATACACAACTTAAATTAGGGCTGTCCAGGAAATGTGTGCATATGGGTTAAAGGCAAAGCCCCAGGTGCAAAATGACTCCTTGGCGTGCTTCAAAACCACCTGTGATAGGTAAACACCATGCCTAGGACCCACTGATATCACCGTGGCACTGTGTGGGAGAAAGCAAGCCAGGACAGTCTTTGTCTCAGCTCTCTGGGAGCTTGTACCTAAAATAGGGCCAAAAACTATACACAAAAAAGACTTGAACCCAGATGGAAACTGGGTTTGCTGCTTAGTAAATCAAAAATTAAAATTACCTCACATCCCAGGTGGGTCACGAGACAAGCTCAATTTCTGAAAGCTTACATAGAAACATCACCAAATACAGGAACCTACTGAATATTGAATATAGATGGGTTCTGAGATTATTTAAAAGAGAGGACACTGGAAAACAAGTCATTTATTCTTGAGACTGGCTCACTTCACCCTCTGGATATTGGCTTCCTAACATGACCCACATGAAGGTGGACAGAACAGCACTGTCTCAGGAGCTTTCCTTCAAGACTCATCACAACAGGAACACACGAATCTATAGACAGCGACCCCCTCTTCCACAAAAATGAACCCATCTGAGCTGGACACAGTAGCACATGCCTATAATCCCAGTGGCTGGGGAGACTGAGACAGGAGGATTGCAAAGCTCAAAGCCAGCCTCAGCAACTTATCGAGGCCCTAAGCATCTTAGAAAGACCCTGTCTCAAAAAGATTTTTTTTAAAAAAAAAAGGGCTGGGGATGTGACTCAGTGGTAAAGCATCTCTGGGTTCAAATGCCCTCCCCCAAAAAATCTGAACCCACTTGAGAGGCAGGTACAGAGGGCAAACATCACCTAACACCAAACGCCAGTGCTCAAACCATCTTGGAGAAGCCCATGTGCTGCACCTTGTTTCAGATGCTTCCAGAGATCTCCTCCCATATGTCTGCACACGGCAGACCACTAGGGGAACAAGGGCTGCCAGGGACTCACAGCTCTGTGTCCTGCTTGGATTTCACAGTGGGTGGCAGTACCCACCAGTTTTATCCCTATTGCCACTGACAATTGGGGAGCAGTCACTGATGAAATCTACAAAGTACTTGTCCTCCACTAAGCTGTCATGAGCCAAGAACTGCTCATGGGCTCATGGGTGCAACTGAGAGGCAGAGCACTTGCCTGGCATGTGCAATGCCCTGGGTTCCATCCCCAGCACCACAAAATTAATTAATTAATTAATTAATTAATTAATAATTACCTCTGGACAAGCAAGTGCTTGTAATAAACAACATGTGTGCCTTTAATAAAGCATCTGATAGGTGCTGACATCACCTGGCCACCAGGACGGACGTGATAGCAGTAGACTGTTAGTTCACAGGTCTAAGAAGAAAACCCAAGTCACTCGGAGTGGGCAGAGGGAAGGGAGAATATACAGAAGTAGAACAGAAAATCAGAGAGGGAAAATGCCCAGAGCAACTAATGATAAGAGGAAAAGAAAAAGTCAAGTAGGAGCCTAGGCTTAAGAGACTCGGAGGGTAGAAGATACTAAACATGGGGGCAAACAGTGTGGCAGATCCTCCTAAAACTTATCCACAGGACTGTGTGGGCAAGCAGCATTAGTGCCATTCCCTCCAAATACTTGCTGCTCCCCTATCAATGACAGGCACCATTCCAGGCACAAGAAGACACACAGAACCAAACACACACAATAAAACAAAAACCCTGCCCTGGTGGATGTCACATCCTAATTGAAAGAAAACGCCAATAAATGTTCTTAAAAATTAGTAAATTATATGGTCTGTTGGAAGGTGGTCAGTACTATAGGAAAATATAAGGCAGGAAAGGGGACCAACCGAAGGACGCCAATCATGCAGATGGCTGTCAGGCAGGACCATAGGAAGTGATGCTCGAACAAAAGCTCCGGGTGAGAACAGAGAAGCGGCTAAGCCCAGATGAGAAAAGTGCTTTCCAAAATAAGGACAGAAGCTGCAGGCCCTTCTGCAGGCAGGGGCAGTCACTGCAGGATGTCACTGCAGGGAAGGAGAGGATCCCATCTGTCTTGGAAGAATCACTCCCTCTCCAACAGCCACATGCAAGACAGACAGACAGGGCAAGGCTGGAAGGATCAGAGGAAGCTAGGAAGTGCAGGCCAGGATTCAGACAGGGAGAAGAAAACACATGCAAGAAGCATCTGGACAGTATCATCAACAGAACGTGGTAGAAACAAGCCTCACAGAAAACGCAGTCTCTTCCCAGCATGCAGCCACCGTCGCGGGAATAAATGACTTCACTTTCCACAGCCAGCTCTCAGCAGCTAATGGAACCATGGAAATAGGTAATTCCGGAGGAAACATATTAAATATGAGAATGACAAACCACTTCACAGAAATTTCTATTTACTCTCCTTTTTTGTAAATCCATTTACTCTAAATGGGATATGGTGGGGGCAAGTCTTACTGGTGACAATTGTTCCCTTAAGCTTTGAAAATAAAAACAGGGTACTTTGGGTCGGGGGTGCAGATCATTGGTAAAGCCTTTGACTAGCATGCATGAGGGCCTGGATTGGATCCCCAGTGTTGGGAGAAGAAAAAAACACACACGCACACACACACATACACACACACACACACACTCTCACACACACACACAAATACTCCTAAACATGATATTTTAAAAAGCAAATCCTTTTCCTAACAACAATATTCCAAAGAGGCTACTTTTATTTTTTAAAAGCTATTTTTAAAAGATGTACGTTTCCTTTTGATTGTGTGTGTGCCTGTGTGTGTGTGGTGCTAGGGATTCACATGTTCTACACCAACACTCTACAGGCAAGCTACACCCAGGCCGCCTCTTAATTCATGGAATATACTACTGTGACCTCAAGACCAAAAGTAAACACGTCTACTAATTAAAGCAGGATTTTTTTTTCCAAAGGCACACAGAGAAGGTTCAGAAGGATGGGCTTCTAAAGGGCAGCTTCCTGCTTGGACAACACAGTTGTGTAAACTGTACTACAGGCTCCTCTTGTCTCCAAGGCTGGTGAACAACAGAATTACAGCATCAGAATTTCTTATGAAAGTCACCTGACCACGTAAAATGAAGGGAACTCTTGAGTCCCATGGCCACTACCTCGCCACTGTGTGACATAAACAGATTGCTTAGCCTCTCTGCTCCTCAAATTCCTTACCAGTTAAATAAGGAGGCTTACGTAGACTCAATCAAAGGTCTTTTTCAAATCTAAAATGCTTACAAGGTCTTGCTAGCACTCATTGTATATTTTCTCCATCAGAACTCCATTTATCTGAACCAAATTTCATAGAGTAAGACTTCTCCCCTCTCCGTGCTAGCCTGCCTCCTTCTTTCACCTGCGGTGTATTTACAGAACACAAGTTGCCGCAGTCTGGCTAGGCACAAATCACGAGCCACTCAAGCAGGAACAAATTTTATTTCCGAACTCCACCAGCACACACCACACACGCTCCCTGGGAACCTCTCAGCTCTCCCCCCGGCTCCGCCCCCACTCAACGGGAACTCCAAAGTAGTGGGCTCCCGAGGCAGCAAGAGCCGCCCTATTGCTGGACAGTAAAGGTCTATATACAGTTGAATACACAGCTTAACTAACCATCATCATCTCAATGGCTTGCTGATGTCACCTTTCAACCATTCCCTCTGGCAAAATGCCAGGCATCATTCCGACTCAGCTGTGGCCCTCAACAACAAGTAATTTTTAGCAAAGACTAAGCAAAGCCTTGTTAGGAAGGAAAGGAGTGAG